GGGAGAGGGAGAAGCAGACTCCCCGCCGAGGAGGGAGCCTGATGCGGGACTCGATCCCGGGACTCCAGGATCATGACCTGAGCCGAAGGCAGTTGCTTAACCAACTGAGCCACCCAGGCGCCCCATACCTAGGATTCTTAAAAGCAATTTACTTTTATGATTTTTAAGAAGCATATCTCTTGAAAGGGTCTCACTCTTTAAATGGCTCCAGAGAAAAAGAATTTCAGCGTGCATAGTAATTTCTTTAGCTACATCCCTGTGGGACACTCAGGCTGTTCCCCTTTTACCATCAAGCACAGCAACATTTGCGTGCGTGTTTCTGTGGGAAGAGGGCTGGCTTGATGAGATGTGCATGTTTGAAAGGCAGGTTCGGCCACGGTGGGGGGAGAATGAGTCCAAGGAGCAAAGTTTCATGGGACATAGTAGCCCTCTGGATGGCAGGGTCTTGAGGGATGAGGAGGAGGGAGAGAGTGGGAGGAGATGCTGGGGGCGGGGGTGGAGCATTGGGGGACAGTTTTCTTCTTTTCTTTTTTGGGGAAGAATTTTTTAACAGATCAGTGTTCATGTGGTGGTAATGGTAAAGGACCGACATAAGTGAGCAAATTGTCGTTTTCTTTATGAAAATATCTTAATCTCATGGGCGCGTGGGTGGCTCAGTTGGTTAAGCGTCTGCCTTTGGCTCAGGTCATGATCTCAGGGTCCTGGGATCGAGCCCCGCATCAGGCTCCCTGCTTAGCAGGGCGTCTGCTTCTCCCTCTCCCTCTGCCACCCCCCTGCTCGTGCTCTCTCCTCTCTCTCTCTCTCAAATAAATAAATAAAATCTTTAAAAGAAAAAAAAGAAAATACCTTAATCTCTTTTCTGTTGTTACAGAAATACTGTAAACAATTTAAACAATATGGATAAATGGGTAGTTTCCCTCATGCTCTTGTTTCCCTTGGATAATCATTGTTAATAGCTAGACCTACATCCTCTCTACTTTTAAAAGTGCCCATTTTGGGGGGTGCCTGCCTGGCTCAGTGGAGCACACAACTCTTGATCTTAGGGTTGTGAGTTCGAGCCCCACATTGGGGGTAGAGATTGCTTGAAAATAAATTCTATAAAGAAATGCCCCCTTTTTATTCCTTCACTTCTTTTTTGGTGAGTTAAAACAAAACAAGTTCATTTTTGAGAGAGAGAGAGAGAGAGCGAGCAAGAGGGGGTAGGAAGAGGGAGAAGGGCAGAGAGAGAGACAGAGAATCCCAGGCAGACTCCGCACTGAGCGCGGAGCTTGATGCGGGGCTCAGACTCACAACCCTGAGATCATGACCTGAGCCGAAACGAAGAGTCAGACGCTTAACTGCCTGCGCCACCCAGAGGCCCCACATTCATTCTTTTGTAGTTCTGAAGGTTAGAGGTCTGAAGGCATTCTCACTGGGCCAGAACCAAGGTGTTGGCAAGGCCGTCTTCCCTCCACAGGCTCCGGGGAGAATCTGTTTCCAGCCTTTTCCACCTTCTAGACTCGTACTCGGTGCACTGCGTGCCTCCTGTGTGGCCCCTTCCTCCATTGTCAGGCCAGGAACACAGCATCGTGCCTCGGGGCTGCATATTTATTTTTAGCACAAACGGGGCAACAGTCATAGTATACACTCCTGGAATCTGACTTTTTAACTTCATGTGTCAGGGACTTTTTTTATACACAAAAATTGTCAGTGCCGGGGCCCCGGTGTAGGTTGTTTCTAATGATTATTATTCTTGTCACATTATCTTCTCCAGACAAATTCCTAGAAGGGGAATTGTTGCATCAAAGGGACATGTGTGTAAACTCTTGAGTGATTGATCTCTGGAAAGGTTCCCATGGCGTTCATTCATGCCACAGGGCATGAGAGGACCTACGTACCACAGCCATGCCTCCTGGGCATCATCCCTCCAACCGGACTGGACGCCCAGTCCCTGAGCCATGATGCTGTGTTCCTGGCCTGACAATGGGCCTCTGTCTGCTTCTCTTCAATTACCACAGTGCTGAGAATGGCCAATTTCTTTTCCTTTCTTCCTTTCTCTCTTTCTTTTTTTTTTAAGTAGGCTCCACACCTGACATGGAGCCCAACATGGGGTTTGAACTCATGACCCTGAGATCAAGACCTGAGCTGAGGGACACCTGGGTGGCTCAGTTGGTTAAGCGTCTGACTCTTGGTTCTGGCTCAGGTCATGATCTCATGTGTTATGGGATTGAGCCCCGTGTCTGGCTCCTCGCTCAGCGGGGAGTCTGCTTGAAAGGTTCTCTGCCTCTGTCCCTCCCCGCCCCAAGTAAATAAATAAATCTTTTTTTAAAAATTTATTTATTTGAGAGAGAAAGAGCACAAGCAGGGGCGCAGGGAGGGGCAGAGGGAGAGGGAGAAGCAGACTCCCCACTGAGCAGGAAGCTCGATGCGGGGCTTGATCCTAGGAACCTGGGATCATGACCTGAGCAGAAGGTCAGGCTTCTGCTTAACCAACTGAGCCACCCAGGCACCCCAATAAATAAATCTTAAAAAAAACAACAACACAAAAAGACCTGAGCTGAGATCAAGACTTGCACGCTTAACCAACTGAGCCACCCAGGTGCCCCTAGGATGGCCAATTTCTAGTGAACGACAAATCCTGCTTCTTCCCCACAGTGACCTTCCTGATGCTAAGTCAAGAGCCCTTGACAACATTGGCAGGGTTTTTGCCAGAGTTGGGAAATTCCAGCAAGCCATTGACACGTGAGTAACCCCAGACTGCCCCTTCCCCACCCTAGGGCCAGGACTTCCCACCCTCACACCGGACTCCCAGCCTGGGGCCCGGATGACAGGCAAAGAGGCATCAGAAAACCTGAGTTTGGCTCCTGGCTCTGCCAAGTGACCATGGGCTAGCCACTTTGTCAACTCTGAGGTTCATCTGTTAAGTTGATTGACTAGAATCAGCATCTGCTCACAAGTTCCCAGTGACAGGAATCTCCTGGAGCACAGGTACATGAATTGCTGGGGTCTCTGCCCTGAAATTCTGATTCTATAGGTCTGGGTTGGAGCCCAGGAACCTGGGTTTTTTTTGTTGTTGTTTTTTTGTTTTAAGATTTTATTTATTTATTTGAGAGAGAGGAGCTTGAGCACAAGTGGAGGGAGGAGTAGAGGGAGAGGGAGAAGCAGACTCCCCGCTGAGCAGGGAGCCCAACAACACAGGACTCCATCCCAGGAGTCTGGATCCAATTAGACTCATTTGCCGGGACCCTTCTGCTCCACATCTCTTGGTTTCCTGAATGACCCCTGGTGTCTATGTGCCAAAAGACATATGAGTTTGAGAGTTCACCCACCCGTTTGTATCTTTTTATAAGAAAATGTTTTGTAGGGGCGCCTGGGTGGCTCAGGTCATGGTCCCAGCGTTCTGGGATCAAGCCTCCCAGCAGGTTCCCTACTCAGTGGGGAGTCTGCTTCTCCCTCTGCCCGTCCCTGTGCTCATGCTTTCTCTCTCTCTCTCTCTCAAATAAATAAAAAAAAAATCTTTAAAAAAGAATGTTTTGTAGTAAATTTGTGCTTATTGTTAAAATATTAATTTGGGAAATGCAGAAGAGTAGCAGGAAAATTGTCTTTCCTCCCGAAGATGATGACTAGGTCTAATCCTAATCTTCCTTTATTGATATCTCATTTTTTTTTATTATTCTAATCTTTTCTGTGTGGATTTTGTCTTCTATATACTTAATGATACTCTTCAATGTTATTTTTATGTTATTTGAAATGCAAGTTTACAAACATGATTTTCAATTGTATCAGTTCTATCTGTAAAAGTACCAAAATAGCTTTGACCGTTTTAAAATATCTTCATGCTGGGGCGCCTGGGTGGCTCAGTTGGTTAAGCAACTGCCTTCGGCTCAGGTCATGATCCTGGAGTCCCGGGATCGAGTCCCGCATCGGGCTCCCCGCTCAGCGGGGAGTCTGCTTCTCTCTCTGACCCTCCTCTCTCTCATGCTCTCTCTCTCTCTCAATAAAATAAAATAAAATAAAAAATCTTTAAAAAATAAAAAAATAAAATATCTTCATGCTTACTGGTTACACCCCTGAGTCCGACAGAACTGGTAGTTGGAGAACGAGTTCTGCTCAGCCTCCTATGGCTGAGTATAGGGTTTGAGTGGAAAGAACTGACCCTGGTTCTTCACATTCCCAGGTGGGAGGAGAAGATCCCTCTGGCAAAAACCACCCTGGAGAAGACCTGGCTGTTCCACGAGATCGGCCGCTGCTACTTGGAGCTGGACCAGGCCTGGCAGGCCCAGCATTACGGTGAGAAGTCCCAGCAGTGTGCTGAGGAAGAAGGGGACATCGAGTGGCAGCTGAATGCCAGCGTTCTGGTGGCTCAGGCACAAGGTATGGGCATGGAGAGAAGACCACCCGAGCTGCCAGGCCAGGGCTGGGGACCTTTGGCATCCCAGTGTGTCCCTGGCCAGATGAATGTGGACTCTGAGAGTGGAGGACAAAGCCCTCCCTTTTGACCAGCGTGTGGTAAGTGCCTTCTTTAAGCTAAGCTCAGTGAGAGCGTGGGGCACCCCCGAAGCTCCCACTGAGGAGCTCAGCTGCAGATCAGCCCAGCATCGTGTCATCATCAAAACAGCGCCACTTCCTCTGGCCTTGGTACCCTTTGAGTGTGCATTCTTGCACTTAATCACCATGTGAGCCAATAACGAAGGCATTGTCCTCCTTTCACAGATGGGGAAACTGAGGCACTGCATGGTTCAGCTGACTGCCCCAGGTCCCACGAGAGACGTTTTCAGAGTGATGGAGATGTTCTTTTTTTTTTTTTTTTAAGATTTTATTTATTTATTTGACAGAGAGAGAGCATAAGCGGGGAGAGTGGGTGAGGGAGAAGCAGGCTCCCTGCAGAGCAGGGAGTCCAATGTGGGGTTCAATCTCAGGAGCCTGGGATGATGACCTGAGCCGGAGGCAGATGCTTAACCAATTAAGCCACCCAGGTGCTTGATGGAGATGTTCTAAAACTGCATTGTGGAGATCATTGTACAATTCCATAAAGTTACTGAAAGTCATTGAACTGTATACCCACAAATGGTGCATTTTATAATATCTAAATTACGCCTCAATAAAGTTGTAAAAAATAACCCAGCAAGGGGCATGGGTGAGCAAGAATAGATGAAACAGGGTTGGTGGTATTTTGATAATTGTTGAAGCTGGGTGATGAGTCATAGGGGCTCACTGTACTCCATCTACATTTGTATATATTTGAAATATTTCATGATACAAAGTTAGAAAGGAAATGGCTGGAGGTCACAGGTTAGTAAGCAATGAGGCTGGGACTAAGCCTTGTCCCCTGCCCCCTGGGGGTGCAGTGGACCTCCAGTGAGGGAGGTGATGTGGCAGGGGCTGTGGTCAAGGGCATCATCATTTTTTAAAAATATTTTTTTTATTTATTTGACACAGAGAGAGAGAGAGAGAGTACAAGCAGGGAGAGTAGCAGAGGGAGAGGGAGAAGCAGGCTCTCCACTGGAGCAGGGAGCCCGACATGGGACTCAATCCCAGGGCCCTGGGATCATGACCTGAGCTGAAGGCAGACGCTCAACGGACTGAGCCACCCAGGTGCCCCAAGGGCATCATCATTCATTATTCTTAACACAAATATTTTCTTGGCACCTTCGAGGCACCAAGCGGGGTATACAGCAGGGATAACCATTGATAACCATGTCCTGCCTTCATGTCTGAGGAAGTCACTTTGAAGCAGAAACCTTAAGGATGAGAGGGCACCAACTATTCTAAAAGCTGAGGACAGGACTTTCCAGCCATAGGAACAGCATGTAGAAGGTGGGGAGGAGTTTAGCGGATTTAAGAAGCTGAGGGAGACCAGTGTCAGCTGGACCCCTGGGGGTCCAGGAGGTCTGGATGGGGGAGGGTGATGAGGGGTCAGATCCGCAGGGCCTCATGGCCTCATTACAAATCAGAGATTCTTCCTTAAAAGCACAGGTAGAGACAACTACTGGAAGCTTTAAACTGGGGGAAGGCATGAGTACTGGAGCTTTTCCTAGAACTCTTTCCTGTTCTCAGGAGGGCATAGTATAAGCTGAAGGGAAAATGCGATGTACCCCTCAAGGGTCGATGTCCTCAGTCTACTCCTTTTTTTTTTTAAAGATTTATTTATTGGGGCGCCTGGGTGGTGCAGTCAGTTAAGCGTCCGACTCTTGGTTTCAGCTCAGGTCCTAATCTCAGGGGCGTGAGGCGGAGCCCCATGTCCAGCTCTGCGCTCAGCATGAAATCTGCTAAAGTTTCTCTCTCCCTCTGCCTCTGCCCCTTCCTGCTGTGCGCGCGCATTTGCTATAAAATCAATCAATCAATCTTTAAAAAAGAGAGACATTTATTTATTTATTATAGAGGGGGCGGGGAGAAACTTAGCAGATTCCATGCTGAGTGCGGAGCCAGACACAGGGCTCGATGTCACGCCCCTGAGGTCAGGAGCTGAGCTGAAACCAAGAGTCAGACGCTTAACTGACTGCACCATCCAGGCGCCCCTCCTCAGTCAACTCTTGAGGACTTACTTGGCCCCGAGGGCCCCTGGAGAGCCAGCCAGTCATGGCTGCTCTCAGTTTCCCCACTCTGGGATGGAAAAATCAAACGCAGCCGCCTGGAGCCGCTGGGTTTTAGAGGCCGCACAGCCTCGCAGGCAGAGCTTGGGCTCTGGGTCCTCCTGGCTCAGAAACCTTGAGCGGTCAGTCAGTCAGGCAACAGTGAGATCCCAGGTGCAGCACTAACCAGCTGGGTAAGTGAGCTCAGACAGCAGCCGCTTCCTCTTGGGGTTCAGACTGTTCCCATGTGGGGGCCGGACTCCAGCTGCTGGCCCATGAGTCACAGCCAACCCTTTGATATCTCTGTTGGTCTTCACAACATGTTAGGGCAATTTGAATGAACAATTTTAAAATATGGGTTTCCAGGGGCGCCTGGGTGGCTCAGTCGTTAAGCGTCTGCCTTCGGCTCAGGTCATGATCCCAGGGTCCTGGGGTCGAGCCCCGCGTGGGGCTCCCTGCTCCGTGGGAAGCCTGCTTCTCCCTCTCCCACTCCCCCTGCTTGTGTTCCCTCTCTCTCTGTGTCTCTCTCTGTCAAATAAATAAATAAAATCTTTAAAAAAAAAAAATATATGGGTTTCCAGGGGCGCCTGGGTGGCTCAGTCGGTTAAGAATCCGACTCTTTTTCTTAGCTCAGGCTTGAGCTCAGGGTTGTGAGTTGAAGCCCTGATACTGGGCTCCACACATGTGGAGCCTACTTAAAAAAAAAAAAAAAAAATATATATATATGGATTTCCACTTCTGGAACAATCGTACGTTGGGGCAAGACGGAATTGTCCCCCTACCCTGGAGACACAGGGTGTGTGCACAGGCCCTACCCCAGACCCTTCTTTCCTCTCTGACCTCTCTGAATGGCCTGCTATCCAAGACTCAGGTTCCTAGGTGCTGGTCCTTAGTGGTGAGCTGGCCCAGGAATGCGATGGAAAGTGTGGTGATGGGCAGCTCAGTGACGCTGCCTGAGGCCTGGGGCTTCTAACTGACCCTGGGAGGGGCCAGGCAGCCACATTGTCCAACACGCAGTGTCACGATCTACCTGTGCTATGCCCCCTTTCTGCTCTCCAGTCAAGCTGAGAGACTTTGAGTTGGCCGTGAGCAACTTTGAGAAGGCCCTAGAGAGAGCGAAGCTGGTCCACAACAACGAGGCGCAGCAGGCCATCATCAGCGTGAGCTGCCCACCCCCTGGGCCCTGGCTGCGGGGAGGGCGTGGGTGGGTCCTCAACCTCTCAGCCAGCCAGAGCCCGGGGATTTATTACCCACCAAATGCAGGCCGCATTCTAGGTGGGGTAGTGGCTTTCAAACGCTCGCTGATGCTCTCAGTTTATACAGCAATCCAATATACCTATTTTTATTTGAAATAAACAATAGGAACGAAAGTTTAACAAAGCATATTTACCTTTACTATGTATGCTATTTCCTATTATATTCTCCTTTTTCCTTTTGCTAAAGTTTCCATTTCCTTTTCTTTTGTTTAATGCTGGTTGAAACTTCGACTGATTTTAGGGCTTGCCTTTTGGAAAATGCTGCCTCCTTCAGGAGACAACAAGAAATACGGTGTGACTGCCTCACTCACACGCCTAGGGAGGCGCCACACTGCTCAGCCAGGCAGCCCGCCACATGCCGCCAGTTAGACTCAAATGAATTAAAAGTAAATCAAATTTAAAATTCAGTTTGTCAGTCACACAGCCACATTTCAAGTGCTCAATAGCCGCATGTGGCTTGTGGGTTCCAGAGAATGTAAGATCGAGAGGATTGTCATGGTGGCAGAAATTTCTGTTGGATAGTGCAGGCGTAGACCGTAAGGGTCAGGAGGCAGAGACCAGAGGCGAAGCCAGAGGAGGCCTGCAGGTGCTTCAGACTTGCCACCGCCCCCAGAGCCGCTCCAGGCAGATGTCCCCCCTCAGTAGGGTCAGTGCCCTGACCTCAAAGATGCCCAGGCAGTTTGCAGGAGTCCCCTGGCCTCCCCACCTCCCACTCCCCCCACCCCGGCTGCCCCACGTTGAAATTCCAGAGCTTCCTACCCCAGTAAGCATCTACTGGCATGAATTAAGCAGGGCCCTTGTCCTTGGGGAGCTGGCCCCTGTGGTTAAGAGAAGCCAGACATAATAATGAGGGGGCACCACGAGGGGCATGGCCTCGGGGACCAGACTGAAGGTTCAGCAGGTACTCGGGAAAGGGAGCAGGGACCCTGGGAAGTGGCAGCCAAGGATGCTCTGGTTGGAGGTGGGCCTCCTGCTGGGGGCTTCGAAGGACCACAGAAGGGTTCAGCCAGGCTGAGAAGGGGCAAGAGCACTGAAGGAACTGGAGGCCGTGGGCACTGAGGGGTCTGTGGGAGGCAGAAAAGAGCCCCTGGGCCTGGATGCGAGGGCTGGCTCACAATGGCAGAAGGAGTAGGGCCAAAGGACCCCAGACAGTCGGTGGACCAGCTGGGACTTGAAGGGCTGGGAATAGCAGAGGAGCGACCTGATCTACTCGGATTTTTAGGGTGTGAGCTCATGGTTTGTGAGGACCCTGGTGAGGCCACCCCTTTCCTGTCATGGTGGGGAAGTCGCCCCCGAGAGATTCCACCATTGGCAGTCTGTGCTCTCCCGTCACCCGTCCCAGGGCGGCTTAGGCCTGCCACACTGCTGTCTTCTTCCTCTGTAGAGGGGTTAGCTCCCCAAACGTCCACCTTGCCCTCCAGAGGAAGAGCGTTCCTTCCCTGAAGCCCTGTTGCTGCCCCTCCACTCGCACGCACCGTCTCTCGCCCTTAATGCCCTTCTGCAGGGTCGCTCTGCAGCCGGAGAGGGACAGCTCCACAGTTCAACCCAGTAAATAGTTGCTGGCCACGGGCTGACTCTGAGCTGCCCAGTCCAAAGGGGACAGCTGTGGTCCTGGCCCGTAGGAAGCTTGCTGTCAGCGGGAAGGTTAAAACAAAAACCCCTTGTTCCTGACCAGGGCAACAGGGATGAGGGGACCCAGGGTGAGAGCGCCCCACTGGATGAGACAGGGCTGGGTTTTCCCATCAAGGGCGGTCTGGGGTCGCCTTGAAGCCTGGGCAGGGTTTTGAAAATGAGAGGCAAAGAGAGACGGCCCCATGGCCTTGGTGACCCCTCGTGAGACCAGGTCCCCGCCACCTCACCCTCCCGGACCAGCAGCTCCGGGCAGGAAGATCAACACTCCATAAGCACGTCCAGGCCCCTTGCTCTCTGTGGATGGTTCCTGAGTGCTTACTGCAGCTCTGCCTGGAACTACATACGCACAGGCTGAGCCCCAGGCCGCCAGGGAACCTGTAGACACCCCGGGAGCCCCTCTCAAGACAGGCCAGCGCCCCAGTCCCACCCGGCAGTGTGCTTCCAAATCCCCTCCATGGCTTGCTGCCTTGCTGAGTGCTTAGGGGCTTCACTCTCTCTATATTGGCTGGAACCAAAAGAAGCTTCTGGTAAAGAGGTCAAAATGAGCAGAAAAGAGACAACTCTGAAATACATACCGAAGCCCAAGGGAGCTGAAGTCCGAGTTACCTGCAGTCATGTATCTCCTCCCACTTAGTGTGGCTAATTCCGGGTCTGTAAGTCTAAATTAACCCCGGGCAGGAGTCTGTGCAGAAGCCCAGGGAAAATGGAGGGCGGCAAGGCTGGTGCAGAGTCCTGCCTTCTGGAGTTGGGGCTCGGGTGATGAAAGGGAAGGTGTGGGTGCCAACAGGGGCTAAGAGAGGTCACCAGCTCCTCTCCACCCACAGGCCTTGGATGATGCCAACAAGGGTATCATCGAAGAGCTGAAGAAAACAGACTACAGGGAGACGCTGAGAGAAAAGAGAGAGAGAGGTGAGTGCCAGGAGGTAGCGCCAGGGTCCCCGTCTGCGCTCTCCAGCAGCTCTTCCAGTCCCGGGGTTGGGTTCCCTGGGGCAGGAGAAGGAGGTCCAGCCCGTGCCCACTGCCCTGAGAGCCCACTCCTGTATTTCTCCATCTCCAGGTATTAGTTAAGCACTCGTCATGCGCTGGGAAAGTGTGGGATTTGGGAGAGACAGAGGTTCGGCCCCTGCCCCAGAAGAGCCCACAGCCCAGGGGCAAAGCCAGGAGATTTGAGCTGTCAGCAGAGGGGCTCCTGCGTGTGTGCAGGAAGCAGCAGGAGCGAAGACATGGGGGGGGGGGGGGGGGTGCCACAGGATGATAGTTCTACTCAGCTTCTGCCCGCCCCGCTGTGGCTATCACCCTGGCAGCGCGGCGGTGACCCCTCCGGGCACCCAGGCACAGGGGGAGATCGGGTGTGAGGTTTCTGGGTGCCCCAGCAGCCAAATGACAGTCCTTTATTATGCAGCGCCTGCCATGTGGTGGCTGGGTCTCCTCAGGGAGGGCATCTGCCTCTGCTCCCACAGGCCCTTAGAGCTGCTCTCGGGAGCCACCAGGGCAAGAGAAGCTCCTAGCGGCCTCCCATCCCCTTGGCAGGCTACGTGCTGGGGTGGCCCTGCGGCCCACGGCAGCTGCCGGGCACTTCGCCCCCGGACCGGCAGGCGGCAGCATTGCCCAGGTCTTCACGGCCACGCGGCGGCCTCTTCCCTGCTAGGAACCTCGGGCCCCGGCAGGCATCTTAGAGACCAGGGGCTTCCAGGAAGAGAGTATGGGGGAGACTCAGGAGGGCACCGTGACTTTTCTCTGTAGCTCATAAAAACATGGAGCAAGCGTCCTTTTGATCATAAAAATAGCTCCCCAGCTGAACTTCCTGCTAACAGTCTGCTCATATTTTGATAGGGAACCTCCCAGTAAATGATGAATGTGCTTCCCAGGGACAAAGAATAATGCAGAATGAGGATGCTGGAGAAAAGAACCCCTGTCGTTTCCCAGCACCTGTGTTATTTCTCGTAGGGAAAGAGAGTGTGCTCTGAGAGCAGACCGTCCTGGGTTCAAATTCTGGCCCTGCCATTTATTTACTGGCAGCGTGACCACTGGCTGTGATTTCTCCGTCATCAGTCTCAGGTCCTTTGACGACGAACTCCAATCACTGACACTATGCCATGAATTCCATGACAACTGCGTGACATCACCTCTGCAGCCTGCCGGATGCCTGGAACAGGGCTGGTGCTCAGGAAACAGTGACCCGCTCTCTCTCAGAAGCACAGGCCCCCAGGGGCTGAGGTACCCCCAGGCCCAGAGATGGACAAACTTTTACTTTTCTTCCCTCCTTTCTCTTGTTTTTCAGAAGAGGCCGCTGAATTGGAAACCTTGAGAGCGGCGGCGGCAGGGAAGGAGAAGGAAAGCACGAGAAGAGGGAGAGACGAGCCCGAGAAGGTGATGAAGCACTGGGAGCGAGAGCCAGCTGACAGTGAGAAAGAGACAGAAGATGAGTTGTCTCAGGAAACTCTGAGGGTCGCAGTGAGTGGACAAGAAGAAAACAGGCAGAGAGAAGTAGGGGAAGCCAGCTCCTTCAGAACAGGGCTGGGAGCCACAGGGCAAGACTCAGGAGATGTTGCCAAGAGAGTGTCCAGAGACCTGGGCACAGAAAGCAAAGGAGAGGAGGACGGGAAACCGTTAGAAGTGGGCAGAATGGAATCAAGAGAAATTTACAGGAGGCCTTCAGAGCTGGACCAGAAACCCTCAGCAGAATTAAGCAGAAGGGAATCAGAAGGACTGGAGAGTCAAGTTTCAGAAGACAACAGAAGAGAGTCAGAAGAAATAGGGAAAACAGAACTGGGAGAAACAGCAGAAGTGACAAAGGCAGAAAATGGTGAAAACGTGGAAGAAGGTGAAAAAGAAGATGAATGAAGCAGCAGGCATCAGGACCAGGGGCCTCGGGGATCTTATTCAACTGGACTTGAAATTTCAGGCTGAGATATTTCTTTCATAGGAGAACACGTGGACTGGGCTCCTCCACAGGTCGCCTCTGCCTCTTTCTGTTACTGTTTTCCTTTCAATAGATACCTTTCACTCTTACAAATCCCGAGTCTGTCATTTTGCCTCCCTGCTCACCCACAAGAGCCTTAGAGAATGAGGACCCGACTCGGGGTACCACTCTCCAAGCAGAACGCTGACCTTACCCTGGCCAGGTGACAAACACAGACTCCAAGCAAGGCCTGATCCAGAGTGTGATCAAGGTGGGAAATGTGCTCCTCTCCCCTGGGCCTGTCCAGGGACCTCATGGAAGAAATGATAGGGGTGCTAAGCAGAAAGCATTTCAGGATGGTGAAGAAACAGGTGAGCTCCAAGGGACCAGGCTAGCTTAAAGGGGAAGAAAAGGAAAGGCCTGGGAGTAGAGGTACGTCTGGGCAGCCACTGGCCGTTGGTTCATCTTACTGAGTGCCTGCTATGGGCAGGGCACTGTGGGAGGCTTGATGGGAGAAGTGATGATGGGTCACGCTGAGGACTGGCAGGCACGATGAAGTGAACGCTGGCACTGACAGGGGCACTGTGCTCGAGGAGCCCAGAGAAAGAGAGTTCCTGCCCGAGAACAGGGAGCCGTCCCCAGGAGGAGGGGCGGCTGGACTCCACCTGCGCCACCTCCAGGAGGTACAGTCAAGTAAATCCGTGATCCGGTTTCCTCCTCCGTAGAACGGGTATCTAACTCCGGGGTTGGCGTCAGGCTTCTATGAGTGCTCAGCACAGCACTTGGTACACGGGAAGCTCTCCAAAATCCGACCGAGCTTTAGGTGGCTTCACAGAGGAGGTGGCAGCTGAACAGCTGCCTCAGAGGATGAGCTAGGATTTCACTACATTATTCATTTGTCTCCTGGCTATTGCCATCCTGGTTCCATCTCTACAGTCCTTGGAAAGGTTAGGGCTGAAGTTAGGCCAGCTAGGACCAGACCCCGACTACTGTGAGGCGAGTGAGGCATTTCAGATGCAATATTTCACGGGGCGCCATGAAACTCACTAAGCAACATATAGTATGTTAATGTAATGTTGTAAAACACACACACACCGCAAAACCCCCACGAGGAATACAATATCACAATTTTAAATAAAGACCGGATCTGACCTTGCATTTGCATGACCCTGCCTCCCTGGCCTCATCCCAACCCCGGCGCGGGGCCGGGGAAAGGTGACTGCCTCCCTCTGTCTAGAGTTCCTCGGGACCTCTCCAGGGCACACGTGCGCCGCGGCCGGCCGGGGCGGGACGCGCGACCACTTCTCTCCGCGCCGAATCAGTTTCGGGTTTCGATTCGCCGCGCCTGCGCGGAGAAGCCCCGCCCCGCCCCCGGGCTATGTAAGGCGGCCTGGCGCGCGGTCGGACCACCGCTGAGCTCCGTGTCCCTCCGCGCAGGCGGGCGGCCCCGGAGAGCTAGTGCCTGCCGAGGCGGCCGCGGCGGCGCCCCCCTCATCATGGTGAGCGGGCGCGGACAGGCGGGAGGGGCGGGGGCGCGCCGGGGAAGCACCCTGACGGAAAACGGGAGTTCGGGGGGATTTTCGGGAGGAAGTGGCATGCAAATGAGGACCCGAGGTTCCGGAGTTGAGCTCTGGCTTGCTGGGCCGTGGGGTGCAGCCTGAGGAAGGGGAGCCCCGGGCCGAGTTGGGGAGCGGGCAGGGCCGCTGGAGGAGCGCGGGGTCGGGCGCCGCGGGAGCTCGTGCCACCGAGTGTGGCCCGGGGCCAGTGCGGGGCGGGCATTGTCGCCTGCTCCCGGCCGAGGGCCTTCTCTGAGAAAAGCCGGTGCCCGCGCCGCGCTCGGGCTGCCGCCTGGAGGTGCAGCCGCGTTAGAGGAGACCGCTCACCGCAACAGGTGGTGTCACTTGTGGCTTTTAGCAGGCGGGAAAGCAAGTGGCTCAGAGAGGTGCTGCTGACACACAGCAAAGTGGGGCGCAGAGCTGGACCCCGGACGCAGGTGCCCTGGGTCGCCCAGTCCTGGGGCAGGCACAAAGACCACGCCTTTGTGGGGGGCCGAGGGGCAGGGGAGGCGGCGGCAGGCGTGGTGAATGAGGCCCTTTGTCCGGCGCTCTCCTGCCCTGCCTCCCACCAGCCCTTCTGTGGGACCATTGTCCCCCCCCCATCCCAGACAAGAGAGTATTATCTGTTGCCGCCCTTGTGGGGGCAGGGGAGGCAGTCTTCGGGTAACCCTTCTCCACCCCCAGCCTCCTCTGCGCACCGGGAGCCCGGGCAGCTGTGCCTTCGCCCAGACAGAGCAGCCCCACCTCCAAAGAGGGCATCCTTCGTGGGTGCCGGGAATATAACGTCAGGGTCCGCTGCAGAGGCACGGGCCTGCGCTTCCAGCAGCTTCCCCGCTGAGGGGCGGCAGCAGTGGGGGATCCTTGAAGCCTCAGCTCTGACCAGCGGGAATTAGGGGCTTGGGAACCTCAGACGAGCTCTCCCGTCCCTCCTCCACCACCACCCGCTGGCGGCGCCCCGGGCCGGAGGAGGAGAAGGTCCAGTCCTGGGCTTGGGAAGGTGCCCACCGCTCGGGGGGCGCTTATAACTCAGGGCTGGGAGGCCCAAGGAGAACGAGGCCAGAGTCAAGGGGGCGAGGCCGGTGGGGTGGCCTGGAGCGAGCCGGCTGACATCTGCTCTTGCCCTCCTCACACACAGAACAGAAGCTTCTCCCGAAAGAGCCACACGTTCCTGCCCAAGATCTTCTTCCGCAAAATGTCCTCCTCAGGGGCCAAGGACAAGCCTGAGCTGCAGTTTCCTTTCCTGCAGGATGAGGAGACCGTGGCCACGCTGCAGGAGTGCAAGACCCTCTTCATCCTGCGCGGCCTGCCCGGGAGCGGCAAGTCCACCCTGGCGCGGGTCATCGTGGACAGGTACCGGGACGGCACCAAGATGGTGTCCGCCGACGCCTACAAGATTACCCCCGGGGGCCGAGGAGACTTCTCTGAGGAGTACAAGCGGCTGGACGAGGACCTGGCCGCCTACTGCCGCCGGGACGTGCGTGTCCTGGTGCTGGATGACACCAACCACGAGCGGGAGCGGCTGGAGCAGCTCTTTGAATTGGCCGACCAGTACCAGTACCAGGTGGTGCTGGTGGAGCCCAAGACGGCGTGGCGGCTGGACTGCGCCCAGCTCAAGGAGAAGAACCAGTGGCAGCTGTCGGCCGACGAGCTCAAGAAGCTGAAGCCGGCGCTGGAGAAGGACTTCCTGCCGCTCTACTTCGGCTGGTTCCTGACCAAGAAGAGTTCCGAGAGCCTCCGCAAAGCCGGCCAGGCCTTCCTGGAGGAGCTGAGCAACCACAAGGCCTTCAAGAAGGAGCTGCGACACTGTAGGTGGCGGGCGGGGGCCGGGGTGCGGGCAGGTAGCGGCCTTCCCAAGCCTCCCTCGCTGGGCTCGCGGTGCTGAGCGCCTGGGACCGCCGCTGCCCTCCCAGCACGGGGCCGAGTGAGGCCGCAGGGGTGGAGGCAGAGGCGCAGGGGGACGGGGGGAGAGCTGCTTCCCAGGGACCCCTCTCCTCTCACGGCGCCCCCTCCTCCCTGCCCCCCTGGATGGAGACCACTGGCCCTGTCTTTGGATGGGGGGAGGGACAAATTCCCCGCACCACGGGAAGCACGTCCACATTTCCTACCACCCGAGAGGGAGAACCTGATTCGATGTTTCTACCTTGTGTTCAGCTGCAGAGCTATCTTTCTGAAGTAGAATATTCCATGGAGGGGCGCCCGGCTGGCTCAGTGGGTAGAACCTGCGACTCTTGATCTCGGGGTCATGAATCCCAGCCCCATGTTGGGTGGAGAGATCACTAAAAAAGGAAGGGGCGCCTGGGTGGGTCAGTTAAGCGACTGACTCTTGATTTTGGCTCAGGTCATGATCTCAGGGTCATGAGATCGAGCCCCGCGTTGGAGCCTGCTTAAGATTCTTTCTCTCCTCTCCCTCTGCCCGTCCCCCCTCCCTCTCTAAATAAATAAATAATAAAATAATCTAAAAAAAATATTCCACGGAATCCTAAGCTGCAAAAAAATGACAACTAAGACTATTGTGACTTGACTGGGTATGGTGCCAGGTCTCGGGCTGCCCAGTGCACCTCCTGTGGCCTCCCGCAGCTCCAGAGAACGGCCACACACCTAGTCCAGACCCCTCGTTTTGCGGAGGGGAAAATGCCCAGGAAGGCTGTGGGATTTGCCCAGAGCCATGGTGAGAGCCCTGGACTCTGTCAGCTCTAGCAGGGGCCTCCCCATGTTGGGTGGGACCTCTCCTGGGAAGGGCTGTTTGCTCTGGGGAAGCGTAGGTTTGGGATAAGGGAGGCCTTCATTTTCCTGCAGTGGCCTCTTAGGGATATGTCACCCACTAATCTGTCCCTTTAACCCATTTCTGGTGTCCCCAGATTTTAGATTATCTTCCTCCTTGAAATATCCCCACCCATATTTCTGTGTTGTTTTGGGGGCAAAATCTGTGCCTGGGTATGTGCTCAGAGGTCTCTTCTTGGCTCCTAAAGCTGGAACGCTGGGAAACCAGGGAACTGTGACGCCCGCAGTGATGTTGTCCGGGTGTGAGCCCTGCACCTGGAATTGCTTGGCAGAAAAGCACCCTACAGGCAGGGCCCCTGGTTAGAGCTGCTCTGCCTCTTGAAGCTGCCTTTACCACTAAAAACTGCCACCCTTTCCTGCCTAGGACACACGCGCCTGTTCTCAGAGCACAACTGTCCCTCCCCTGTGGAGGGTGAGGGATATCCTCGCAGGGACTCAACTCTGGGAGTAAATACAACAGATCTAGTGACTCTGAAACGAGCCCTAAGGCCTGGAGTCTGGAAATTGAAATCACAGATACCCCAGGTCTCACCATATAATATCTCATTATATCCCAAGACCCTTCCTACTCTAGGCCCTTTATAGGCTCTCATCCAAACAGGCCTGCACGGTCCATGTTATAGTGACCAGGTAACTTCTGGTCCGGGTAGGCCCAAGTGAAAGGGGGCTCGGCTAAGAGTTCCCCGGGTGGTCCTGGGAAAATGGGTGTATGGTCACCCTAATGGTACTTGATTGACAGAAAAGGGTCAATCGTGTGCCCCAGGCCAAAGGACTTAA